TGAATGGTTGCCAGGGGCTAAGTTAGGACTGTGGGATGGCGGTAGGTGGGAAGTTTACGGAAACGTCAGTGTTATTATAAAACTGGGGGCCGCGTGGACAGAAGGGATCCCTGGGGCGTGGGCACTTTTCCACATCCTGACTAGTGGTGGATACACACACCTACAATGCGAGGAGTCAGCACAGAACTAAGTGCACACAGGTGAACACCAGGAGAGCGGAACGCTCAGGGAGGTCGGTGGACGGCACCAATGCCCGTGTGTGTCCTGATTGTGCGGTGTCACTGCCGGGGAAGCTGCCCGAAGAACAGAGACCGGTCTATATTTTTCTTACAATTGTATGTGAATCTACAATTCTCTCAAAATCAAAAATTGAACTTTAAAAAGAATGTAGATATAACTGATTATAACACGGATTTAAGGGGGGAAAAAGTCACAAATGAAAAATCTCCAATTTTAATCCTGTATGACTGATGATGTCCTTATAAAGAAAAAGAGCCAGAGGCCCAGGAGGAAGCGCTCTCAGGGGCCAAGAACGGAGCGCCTACAGGAGCAAGCCCGGGGCCACCAGAAGCTCGGAGGAAAGGAGAAGGATCTTGAAGAAAGCATGGGTCCGTCAAGACCCAGAATCCGGGCTTGGTGTAGTTATTTGAAATTAGTCAAATGAATGTTCTGAGAGACATTAGCAACATAAAACATGAACATAAGAAATACCATAGAAAGAAAAAGCAAAATTAGTTACCATAAAACAGCTAAACCAAAACCTGAATAGATGAAATGAATAGCTGAACAATAGAATGGACACAACTGAGAAATAAAAAAGAATAATAAAGGAAAATGATTTTTTTCAAAAAGCCACATTTCATGGGTAAGAAAAGAAGCAATACTATCATTCAAATAGTAGTCTCAAAAACGGGTATGAAGACAAGAATCTTAGATTAAAAATGATAGGTACATTGCTTCTAACTTTTGCATCCCAATCACCAATAACTATTAATGCATTTTGACTGCATGTCTGATCACTGTCCGACTGAAGCTGGTAGAATTCAATTTCTGCATCACTTGCTCTTTGGTTCGTGCATAAAGTTGAATAGTCGCCGGATTGACTGGATTTCCTTGGAGACAGATGTAATCCTATCACACACAGCATCAGACCTCAAGATTTAGCAAGATCCCTTCCGACAATGAAGGAAATGCCATTCCTCTTGCCTGTGTTATTCCCGGCATAGTAAATCATATGAGAGAATGGCCCATGTGGGTTTTTGAGACTTTTAATCTTTATAAAAGTAGACTGCCTCATTTTTCTCCCATGGAGTGGCTGGTGGGTTCAAACTTTGGACCTTGTGGTTAGTTAGCT